AGACGCTTCGTTTGCATCTGCCAAGAATTTGCACTCTCATCAAGGCGCGCTGATTTGCGCGACGGATGAAAAGCTGAGCCTCAACCAGGAAGCGCCGGTATCTCCTGTAGCCTGGACGTCAAAGAAGATACCCCGTGTAGTGCGTTCCACGCTTTCGGCCGAGGCTTATGCTATGTCTAAGGGTGTAGACATTCTTGGCTGGGTTAGAGCTCTATGGGGTTGCATTAATGTTAGTGGTTTTAACTGGCAGCAACCAGAAGCAGGCTTCAAGCAGCTCCCCGCTGCCACGATTGTCACTGATTGCAAATCCTTGTACGATCTCGTCACGAGATTGGCCATGCCTTCCTGTGAAGAGTTTCGGACGACCCTTGAAGTGCTTTTGATCAAGCAGCGTTGCCAGGAGAACTGTCAGTTCAGATGGATTCCGACCACCTTACAGGTGGCCGATAGTCTTACAAAACCGATGGATCCAACATTGCTTCGCATGGTCTTGGCCCAGGGCCGATTTCGCTTATACGATGCATCAGAAAATCTGACTAAAACGGCACAAAGGAAGGAAGCAGTTCGCTGGCTATCGCAGCCTTCACAAATGCCTTTCTCCAGCACCTCCGGTGCATGACTGAGTCTTCTGGTATAAGACTCCCTTCATTTGCGAGATGAGCTGTATATCGAGATGAACTTGTACAAAAGAATTTTAGAGCAGTGTGAAAGCCGCACTGTTCAGGAGCCGATGCTGTACATGTTCATCTTGCTGCTGCTTTTCCGAGGCTCTAAGGGTCCGGGAGGGCGGGTATAGGGACGCTGCCGGGCAGCACATGGACCTGCTGCGCTGAGTGAGAAAGGAGTGCCGGGCGCTCTGACCTTTTGATTCCTTTATCTGATTGGGGACAATCATTTCAGGAAACTTCGATTGGCGAGGCTGCCACAATCTTTTCGAGTGTTTCGTTATTCGTGGCAGGGCCACGGCTACCAGGGTGAGACTTACCAGTCTCACAACCCTAAACCCTAAACCGGTAACTAGGCAATGCTTGGTTTTGGTACCCTCGTAATCTCTCAGGCCCAGAACTCTCAAGGTTTCAGGGCTCCGGGTCTGCAGCTTCTAAAAACTACCCATAGGCTCCAAAGTAGCTCCTTTTTGGGGTTACCTTATAGGATTCTAAATATGAACCACAAAAAGGAACCACTTAGCGGCCTCTGGGTAAAAACTAAATTAAATGACACCCAAACTGCTTCCAACGCAACCTGCCCGAACCACGAATTGAACGCCTTGTCTTTTGCCCCTGAAGTGAAATGGCCGAGCCGGCCACATGGCAGCTGGGTTCGCTGTCCGAAACCTGGGCCCTAAACCCTACTGTAACACCCTAACACCCTAAACACCCTAAAGCCCTCAACCCTAAAGCCCTAAACCCTAACACCCTAAACACGCTAAACCCTAAAGCCCAACACCCTACAGCCCGAAACCCTAAACCCTAAAGCCCTAAACCCGAACACCCTGAAGCCCTAAACCCAAAGCGCGCCTGATTTCTCCCGACCACCAGCCTGGGCCGGACGCTCTGCAGGTGCCTTGGGTGTCCCAGCCTGCGGCTTTGGCTTTGAGGTTCCATAAGGGTATGGGGTATAGGGTGTAGGGTTTAGGGTATGGGGTGTAATAGGGAAAAGGGTATAGAGTTTTGGGGTTTAGGGTATAGGGTATAGCATATAGGGTTTAGGGTATAGGGTAGAAGCTCTTAGGTCTCCAGGACCCCCAAGGTGCCCTTTCATGGAGCCGTTTTGGTCCATCTTCGTAGGCATTTAAGGTAGATTGGAGGGTAAGGGGGGGGGGGTGGTCTGGGTCTACGGGTTTAGACTTTAGGGAGTAGGCGTCGTGGTAGAGTCGATGGCTTAGAGCTTAGAGTTCTGCTTTTTTCGCTTGGCCTTCCAGGGTTTCGGTTTCAGGGGCTTTTTTTCTGGGCTTGCGCGTCTATGCAACAAATGCCCCGTGGTTTTCCAAGCCCTGAGTCTCGGCCCCCTAAAGCCACCGGCACCATGCAACTTTTAGGGTTTAGGGGTTAGGGGTTTAGGGGTTTAGGGGTTAGGGTTTAGGGTTTAGGGTTTAGGGGTTTAGAGTTTAGGGTTTGGGGTTGTTCTGCAAACCTGCTGCGCCCGGACGTTCGTGAAGCTTGTATCTGGAAACCACTACCTGCTGAGCCCAGATAACCCCGAACCCCCCGATCCTGAACCCTAAAAGCCCCCAAAACTTACCACTACTGTACTAAATCCACGAAACCTGTCGCAGACTTGATGGCACCAAGACCACAAGCCGAATCTGAAAGCAAAAGCGCATCCTCGAACCCTCAGCTTCGGAACACTGAACCTGAAGATCCGGCTTAAGTTAGGGTTTAGGGTTTAGGGTCTAGGGTTTAGGGTTTAGGGTTGGGTTGAAAAGACTATTACGGCTCTATATGGAACAATAAGGGGAATGCACAACCATCCCAAATCGACACCAACCATATCTCTGATCTCGGAGACGCCAGGAGCGTTCCCACAATTCTAACCCACAAGGCCTGAACCAAAAAAGCCGTAACCCTTAAACCCTAAATCCCTAAACCCTGAACCCCTAAACCCTAAGCCCCTAAACCCTAAACTCCTAAACCCTACATCCAAAACAAACACCGTAAACCCAAAGCCCTGGGCTCATGGTTGGAAGGCCTCTGAGGTCCCGGGAGTACTCACCTCCTCATCGTCTGTTTCGACAGGGATCGCCTTCGGGTCAGATGAGTCGTCGTCAAAACCCTGTTTTGGCGCCATTACTTCAACCTGAGGGCCGTATATACATTACATATATACATGTGTATACATATATATATATATATCATATATATATATATACACATATATACATCTATCTATCTCCCTGTCTCTCTCTACGTGCACACACACACATGCATACTTACATTCTTTCATTCGTACATACTTAGGATGTTGCCAATCTAGCGTATGGGTGGAGGGGCTACAGCGCCCCGGCCTTCAGCAGGTGCACTGTTGGGGTATCGGTAGGCCACACAGCTACATTCCCGTCAATGTCCCTATTTTGGAATGACCCACGGTTCGGACAGAAACGCTGCAATTCCAGGAAGGCCTGTCTTGCCTTCGGAAAGACCGGCAGCATCTGTTGCCGCCTTGCGAATCTGTTTCAAGCGTCTTTTCAGAAGCTTGTGGTGGGACTCCTGGGAGTTTGTGTCCAGGCCGTATGGAAGATGCGGCCTGTCTAAGGCAAGCGGCAGATGCCAGGTGGCACACCAAACGACAGTACCACTTGCCGTTTCGGTCTGCTGTAAATACTCCTTTTCAAAGTACTGCCACCACTCAGGCTCCTCTCCCGGCACCTCGCCCCAATTCGGACGTGAAGGAGATTGTCGCCCTCATGTAGTAAACCAAAAGATCGAACGTGGCTGCATTGACAGCCTCTGCCATCGCAGTCACCACCGTCTTCAGGTACGTTTTTTTTTTGTGTCTCCGAAGCTTCTCCTTGACGCTTGTATACCGTCTTGGATTTTGAGGGCGGGTGCAACATGCATAGTTTGAACTATAATAGGCAATCCCGAGAGATGCTGCACTGTACTTCGCATGTGTTTGCAAGCGTGCCAGTCGTCCAGAGAGTTGTATTTAGCACACCGAATTAGGGTTTACGCTGCACGCAGTACACCACAGGACTCGAGTTTGAATACAGCCTAGACTAACGGGGTTTTGACCGTGATTCAGTTGGGGTTTAGGGTTTTAGGGTATAGGGGTTTGGGGCTTATGAGTTTAGGGCATTGGGGTTTAGGAGTTTAGGGCTCATAAGGCTTTGGGAGTGTAGGATGTAGGGTTTGGGAGTGTAGGTGTTTACGGTTTAGGAGTTTAGGGGTTTGCTGTTTGTAAAGGTTGTAACGCAAGGGGGAACGGGGGTTAGGGGCCTACGCCTGTCGAATCAAGAGTCTCGAGTTCCAGCGTTCAGGGTTTAGGGGTTAGAGGGTTNNGGGGTTTAAGGTTTAGGGGTTTCAGCGTTCAGGGTTTCAGTGCTCAGGATTTTGGATTTTCGGATGCTGACAAGTTCCGGGGTCACTACAAGTTCTAATCCCCCAAAGCTCACATTCGTAAACCAGAAACACAAAAACATAAACCCAAAAAAACTAAACACTAGACCAAGAAGCAGACC